TGTAGTCCACTGTCTTTTAAATCATCCTGTAGCTTTATTGTTTCCTGCAATAATCTAAGTTCCTTGCTCTGTGTTGACTTTAAAGGTTTCTGTGCATATAAGAACTGTGGACTTTGTCCTGACATTTAATTTCTGTTGGGAAGGGTTTAGCAAATCTGTGGATTTTCTTCTCGATGATACAATCTACTTTACACTGAGTCACTCAACTGGCATTCGGGTAATGGCAGAGTATCCTGTGGACTTGCACACTTCCTTCGTCTTTCCCCATGTTTTTGCAAAGGTTTCCCCCTCCTGCCAGTTGATGCAGGATAACTGTGATCTGCACGTCAGTGGTACTTTGTTCCAGGGACAGAACTCACATTCACTACTGTCTTCCTGGCGTTCAGGTCTCACAGATGATTCAGGCATGGTTCCTCATGTAATCATGTTTATGTTATGCTCTGTTTTCTTTTTCATAATATGTCTAATTTTTATGGTGTCAGGTCTTTTTCAGATGGCAATTCATATGATACAATCACCTGTGTTTCTAGATTCAGCTATCTTTTGAGTGTTTGCATTTATTTGCTTAGTTCTAGCCAGATTTTGTCTAGTCAGTTGGTTTGCTCAGAAATTCTTAAAATGAGTATGAAATGGTAACTAGAAATACTGTCACTCTGATGTGCTTTATATGCCTTCATTGTCACTATCTTAGGATAAATGATGAGTAAAAAAGAAATTCTGAAAATGTGGTTCCTCCTTTCTTCCTTTCCCTCCCCTGCTGTACCTCACAGCAACTTTTAGGCAGTCCTGTAGACATGTTCCAGCAAATGCTGGAGCCCTTTGCAAAGGGCTATAAATCTTGCATCTAATCCCCACAGTAGACTAGTGCTCAGGTTAGCTGAGTGCATTTGCAATGTTATGGTTACAGGGGCTTTAAGGGCATTATCTTTCCTGTGCAAACGCTATATAAAAGTTCTTCGAGGGTCTTCCCATATAGTTCTGGCAGCTAAAAGATGGATTGTAGAATACAGTTTTAACAGCAGAAGTGTACGGGGTTATGCTTCTTGATAGATTTTCTCAGTGGGCACACATGTTACATAGAGATTAAACTGAGAGTTTAAAAATAAACTGATTTAAAAAATATGTTTATGGCATTCTCGTCCAAGGATGTTTTTCCACTTCTTGGTAAATTTCGTAGTGTGTCCGTTCCCAAACTCTCATTGAAAAACTGGCCAAATTGTAGCAGCTTCTTAGGATGCAAGTGGAAATACAGGTCTGAGTTTGTCAGCTTTGGCAGCTATCGTTCTTGCCTCTCATCTGAGGAAAACCTGCTGTGCTCTATAAGCATCAAGTGCTTCCCCAGGCTCCTGTGCCTTCTTTTCCCCACAAAGTAAAGAACTTCTACAGAAGTGCATCCCTGCTCTCCTTCTGTGTCAATGGTGGTTGCTCTTTTTACTGGCTGGTGCTCTGTCATTGCGATGGGTCCAAGACTTGATTCGTGGACCTGCCTGGGATGCAGGACTGTCTGAGCAGATGGGAGCTGTTTCGCTCAGTTCATTTCCTTCTATGTGGAGCATACTCTGTTTATGAAGCCTGGTGTGTATATACGTTCAGTGCCTGCAGTGGATGCGTGCTGTTGTTTACAGCAGTGTGTAATCAGCCAGACGCAGCAGCGGAGGAGAGCCTGTGTTTGGGCCCCGACGTTGGTGCCTGTGACGCAGCGAGCCCCCTCCTCGCTGAGCTGCGAGCAGGGCAGGCGGCCGCCTCGCGCCGGGGACGCGGCGTGCGGCCTCGGCTCGCCGCTTCCGCTGCGCCAGGCAGGCAGCAGCAGCTGCTGAGGTAGAGCACACGCTTGCCAGGCTGGAACAAATTGTTTATTTTCCATTGTTTGTAATCACGCAGAACTTATTATGGTTGTTTCTTTTTGTTTTCTTTTTTTACTGCTTTTTTTCCATTCCTACTCGCTGCACTGAGAGCCAGTTGTTCGCTGTTGCAAGCGCTGCCTTCAGAGTGACGTTTGTGTCATACACAGGATAGTCCCAGGGACCAGGCATGTGTCCCTTTACTCGAAACGGACATAGCTGTGTGCTGTGTCCAGGTAGCCTCTTTGACCGCAGGGCAGGCTGGCTACATCCCTCGCCCAGGACTCTTGCTGCAGTAAAACGCAGTACAAGGTACTGCCGCTGGGCCTCGTCTATCAGTGCTGCCTGGCTGCTGCCACTCCTTCCTCCTTTGGGAGTTTATAGCACCTGAAAAGGAGCAAGCAAGGCTCAAGCAAACGCTCTGCTCTGAGTCAGCGCATGACAGGGGCGTTTGTTCAAAACAAAACATTCCTGTGCTAAAGAGATGCCCAGCTGCTAAGCTGAGATGCTTAATGCTTTCTGAGGTACCATGTCTGAATCTTCAGTTTATCTCTGTTATAATTTATGTAGTGATAAAGCCAAAGTTTGCTGTAAGGTTACCTCCCTTGCTTCTGCATGTTTTGTACTCAACCCTGCATTATTATTATTATTATTATTTTTGTATTAAGTCTATCTTTCAGTGTCTCAAGGCAAGGATGTGATTTTTGCCCCTCTCAGGCAAACGGCCATCCATATTCTTCCCCTGTTAACAGGACTTTTCCCCCTCCCTCTGGTTAGAGGTCAATTTGAAGTGCAGGAAAGAATGATTATGATAACAGGAGGAAACAGGAAGAATCGTGCTTTCTTTTTCAATCTGTTTTTTATTGTTGTTTTAATGTAAAACATTGTTTCAATTAAATGCTGACCTGTGCCGCGGTGTGTGCATGCACATGCCGAAATGAATTCAGGCTTTGTTTGGAAAGCTGTGACCTCCTGATTCCTGGTTTGGATCAAGCTGCTGCGTATTGAGCGCACTACTGGTGACTGAAATTTCACCCACATGCTCCAAGTAGCCCCAGCAGCAACAGTCCTTGAGAGCGGTGTTCTCTCTGGCATTTTTATGTGGTGGTGGTCTTTCTGTGCTTTTTAAAATAAACTTGTTTCTTTTAAGAATTGCTCACGTAACAAGAAGAGGGGAAAAAAAAGTAGCTGTGACATGATTAGAATATATCTAGCAGGCTTTATATTAAGCTCGGACCTGAAGGGACAGAGAGCTCTATCAGCTACTTGCTTTCTCTGTGACCAAGTCTAAAACCATGTTACTTACTCTTTGATATACTTTTTGTTCAACGAGAGTGCCATAGGAACTGATATCACCAAAAAGAAACTGCAGGGCTCAAGTTTTCCCCCTCTCCCAAAAATGTTTACTGCCACGATGCTAGAAGAAACATGCTCAGTTTGTTGGTTACTTGGAGGTAAATGTTAAATCTGTGAGGATGAATCAGTGTCTTCTTGCTTAAGCTTTTTGTTCTGTTTAAAATAAACTGTTTTGGAGGAAGGAAAGGAGGGGGGAAGAGGGGAGGAAGAATGATGAAAATTGTCTGGGATGTTAAAATGAGTCAGTTACACTTTATATTTGTCCTCTGGTGGCTAGGTTTTCATTTTTCTCCTCGGCCTCCTGGAATGTTTTTATTTATATATCTTATTAGTTCTGGATGTTTCGCACAGGGGGAAACATGAATTACAAACCTTTTTTTCATTATTGTATTAAGAGCCTGGGTATTGAATGCAGGTGCTCGGCCTTTGTCGTAATTGGCAGTTTCTGGAGAGACACCAGCTGTACCGGTTCGCCAGGGAGGTATTGGATCTCTTCACACGTTGTATTTATTGTAGGAAATGCAGAATTCCTGTCATTGTCAGGAACCATGTAGGGCTGCATCTACAGGGACCTCCGCAGAAAAAAAACAGTAACCTCTGGAAGTTGACACCGTGTCTGTGCTCGTTGTGCTCTTGTGTAGCACTAGCTGATGTTTTGTTTGGCTAAATATAGCCAGCATTTAATAAATATTTGTCCTTTAATGGTCATGCATGAGAAATTGCTATCATAGTAACTGCCTCATTTTCTGTAGAGCATGGCAGATTGTTACATATCTGCATGTGTGTGTGTGGTATCCAGACGTGTGTGTTTAGGATATAGGATGTATGTGCTATATAGGATTATACTCATAATGTATTAATATCCCAAATCATATATTTATGTTCTAGTTCATAGAGAAAGGTTGGAAACAGACTTATGTCCAAATTTTATTAGGCCTTAAAAGGCATAATGATATAGTGGGAAAACTGTGATGCTTCTGGGCATTTTAGATGATTGGGAATGAAGTTCCCTTTTTTGCAGGAGGCATGGGAGATTGCAGGTGGCACTTAGTGCTGCCAGGACAGTGTGGATGTATTAAAAGTGCAAGTGGGTGGGACTTCTGAAGCTTCTGAAGGATTGAATTATAGGGGGAAGCTAGGAATTAGTATTAAAATTTATAGGTATTGTAAATGAGTGATTTTTGCCAAACAAAAAAAGAAGGCAGAACATCTGGCTGTGTATATTAGAAAAATGTAATCACTGAAAGGAAAGAAGAGCTGTTCAGTGTTGAAAAGCATTGTAAAAGCCAGGCAGTAATATTTTTCTTGATAAAAAACATGTCCCGTTATTTTATTAGTTAGCAAAGTACTGTCCTGGTGAAAGTAACAGAAATCTCATCAGCAGCATCCTTGTAAGAGCAAGTTGGAAAACACGGTCCTGATCATAGAGGAATGGGCAAGGGTTGGAAGCGTCTTGAATGAATTTAACACCTGCTTCAAATACTTGTTATCCTCCTTCCTTTTGTGTGGTTTAAAATAAGTTTAAAGAACTTCATAGACATTTGCTGTATTTCGACTGTTAGCCTAATTTCAGGGAATGCAGGGATCAAGCTCTTTCTTTCTGTATTTTGGAGTTATATTTTTTCTGTAATCATAAAATCCTTTTTTTCTTGCTCTCTCCTCAGGAATACCCTGTAAGATCAGAAACCTCTTTCAATATGATTTACTTCCCAGCGCTGCGGAGTGTTTTCACGCTGCACACTTGGTGTTTTGGGGAAGCGGGACGAAGTCTTCTTCACGTTCTTCTGTTTGGTGTTTTACCAGGTTTGCACGCGCTGCGGCGCGCGCTGGGGGCCAGAGCTGAGCGGCTGGATCACGAGGTGGCCGGCTCGGTGCGGATTGCTTTCCAGGACTTCCTGCAGGCCGCCAAGGAGGTCAGGCCCAGCGCCATGAGGGAGGTGGCAGTTGATGTGCCAAAGGTAAGTTATTTTTTGCGGCGCGCTAGCAACCTTTAGAGCCACAGCAAGAGTGGCAGTAGGGCATTGAGACGCCCCACCAAAAGTGATTCCCTTTCTAAAGTGAAAGTACCAAGTTGCCAAAAAGTTTTGTGCATCATCTCTTCTGTTGACATAGTACTTTATTTAGAATTCTACAGACCCAGTTACCAAAGCTTAAGTTCTTAATGCTTTCAAAAGCGTTGGTAGTGCAGGAGTGCATCTTCTACCCTGTAGCTGTTAGTGATGAGTGGGTTAATGAAGTAAAAAAGGTAAGGTGGTTGCTCAAAGCAGAACCTTGAATAGCTACTTAAGTTGGAGCCTTTTGTTAAGCAGACACGAATTCAAGTAGAAACCAAGTGTTAGCGTTTTTAAGAAAAGCGTATTGAAACAAAGCTGTATTCAAAGCATATTGAAACTGTGAAGAGACTCACTGGTGTGATTTTATGTGGAGCATGCAGTTCATACTGCTGTGACCTGGGTGTCTGTCTTTCTGTGGCCGGATGTCTAACCAGTGAGATTATATGGTTTTAATTTAGGGCAGAAATAGATGGTGTAGGCAGGTTATTGCTGCTGAGCAGTGATCCTGTTAGAAACTGTCATTACATCAACACTACATTAACAGTGCCTGCTTCAGTCATATTTATCCCACTCCTCTGTTCTGTAAGAGGAATACAGCAGTTCATGGAGGCACACCATAAACTGGACCAGGGAACTGATCTGCTTTAAGAAAAGTTGGAAAACATCGTAGGTAATCTTAGTAAATCTTCACTCTGCAAGCAGTTGTGCCAGCTCCCCAAGCTCCCTGACTGCTGGAAAAAAGTTTCACATCTCATTGCATGAAGACGAGTCATCTGGGAGTTGACTTTTACCATTAGAAGTCCTTATTCCCAAACTAAAGCAAAGAGAAATAAAATTCATGAACAGGATGCTGCATATAGCTAGCTCGGGGGTCACACTAGGCTTGTTAAAAGTTTACACTGTGCAGTGCAGTGCTGGGTGGAAATGCCTGTGCTGGCCCCCAGACAGCTTTCCCTGGAAATGGAGTAGTGGCATCAATGTCCTCCCAGGCTAATTAGTTGTGCTGAGAGTCAGAAGTGCTAATTCTTTTGTCGCTTGCTGTGCTACTGGTTCTTGGATTCATGCCACCGCTGCTGTGCTGAGCCTTTTAGATGTACCAGCGCATTCGGAGTTGGACGGAGTGCTGCTGAACAGTGTAATTTAGACACATATAATTGACTTGCTCAAGATCGCAGGGAATCTGTGATAGGGAATTCAATCCTGGTCTACATACAATTCAGGCTAGTCTTGCCTGAACCCTCCTGCTAGAGGCATTGTTGAGTTTAAAGTTGAGCTGAGTTTAAAGTTGAACGTAAGTGTAGGAGTCTACAGATTTATTCAAAAAGCATGCCCTCCCGTATCACCCATCATAGGGGTGCTGATGTTCAATCAATTTAAGCTCAATTTAATTTAATTAGTTTAAACTCAATTTAAGATTAAATTAATTTAAGCTCAATTTTGAGCTGCACATCTGTCAGCCTCAAAACATGTCACCTCTACATGCTGAGAAGCAGCCTGATTATCTAGTAATACCTGGCAGAGCTGTCTGTGAAAGTTGGAGCAGTGCACGCTCTGGGTGTCCCTGCTGGAGCAGGGGGTTTGGACTAGATGATCTCTAGAGGTCCCTTCCAGCCTTAACCATTCTGTGATTCTGTGTGATTCTGTAAGGGCTCCAGCCTTGTCACCCACCAAGGCTAATTGCTGAGTTGCCCTTGATATTCAGGGTGGGGAGTTGCCTTAAGTCGGATCAAGTCCATGGGATTGTGGCAGGAGCTTGGTATCGCTGATGCTGCAGCTGGCTGCGGCAAAAAGAATTAAACCAATCCATTTGTGATTGTTGTTATTAAACCTTGGGTAGCATAGTGTTATTATTCATGTTATTGTATGTATTCATGTTATTATTAGCAAATAAATATATCTTATTTTCACATATTCTTATTGTCAAAGTGCCAGTCCTTAGCATTTAATATACTGTTATCCAGAGGATTTACATGGCTGATTTGTTGTTTGGAACATGGCTTGCAGAAGAAAATGTAACAGTTTCCAATTCTGTGGATACCTTTTGTTTTATTTTTTTTAAGGAAGATATGCAGTATTTTACGTTGTGTGCGTCTAATACTGACTTTTAGCTATGCCTTAATCTAATTTTACAGATTCAGTTTTGCGTCTCTGGTTAAAGCTGCATGTTTAACTGCTGTGGTTAGAGCTGTGTGCCTGACTGATTGCTCTAACATTTGCAGTTAAGTGGATGCTGAAGTTCTGGGTTTCACTGCAGACTGCGTAGCTGAGAAGCCAAATGAATGCAGTCATGGGGCAAGTAATTTGTCCCATCATCCTGGGGCACTGAGATTGTCTCCTCAACCGCTTTGATGATGTTGCGTCTCAGTGTCCATTTCCCCAGCACCTGTTAGGAAGCCTTTAAAATTACTTGCTTGTCCCAGAACTGGTACTAACATTAGCTGCAATTTCTGTAACGAGTTGTTCCTCTTTACTACTTTTCCCCTCTTTCAGTAGTGCCCATGACTTGGGCCACTTTTCCATTCAGTACTTTATTATTTGGCTGTTGCCCAAGGTGTACTGTGATGCATTATTTATGTGCTCTGCAGTAATTTACACCAACAAAAACTGCCATACTTGCGTCACTTGTTGCATTCATATTAGAATATAAAAACTATGGTTGGAGGGAAGAAGAAGAAAAAGAAAAAGCTAGCATGAACTAGACAGGTTGTCTAAGGAAACCTGGATTTGTGAAACTTACTTTTTGTATTATTATTTTTTCCCCTGGCTACTTATCTGCATGCCCCTTAGTTTACATGTCTTGTGCTGCTATATCTCCAAATACCTTCTGTCTGTAAGCCTGCTTCCCTCTACCCCAGAAGCTGTTGAGCTAGACAGGCAATTTTGCGGGTATGCTGACTGTAACACCGTTTCTTATCTAAAACACCCTTGCTAAAAATAACTTCAAGCATGAAGTAAATGATCAATTATAGGATTTTTTCCAAACAGAAGATGAGAGTCTGAACTACATTAACAATACATTAATAATCTTTTGTATCATGAACTCCCGGTTGTTTAGTCAATACGGAGATTGCTCTCTGAGATCTGCCGGATTTTGAGTAGGCTGTAAGGAAAACCTAGTGTTCAAATCTTTTTTCACTTTTCAGCTCTTAGATTTTAGAGCTCATTTCTTGTCTGTTTAGGAGACTCGAGAGCTAAACTGCTCTGTTGCATTCTGTTGTCTTTTTACTTTAAAGCCTGGAGCAACTTCCTCTGTTGTGCATGTACTTGGGGTAGTAGCTAAAGTATAAGAAGAAGCTATGAGAGAAGTGAGTCAGTTGGGTGGCCTTGTAAAAGTCACCTCATTTCATGGAGTCTCAGGATATTTGATAACCTTTACAGACTGCTTTGCAGCCTGCTTCTGACAAATACTCTTATGACAAGCTAGTTATTATTTTTTATTAATGCACCCTTTAGCTGATTTGCAACACGTGTTGCGTTGCCCTGTGCTTGAAGACTCATGGCAATCACCTGCATTATATGGATAGTGGAAAAGCTGTCTCTAGCACGTCTTGAGCTGTTTTTGTGTTGCAGGCATACTCCAGATTATCGGTGGGGAAGGAGCCAAAGGCAAATGAGTTTGGGAGGGCAGATGGAAAGTGAGGCTGGTGCTGGAGGAGAGGAGTGGTTATGGGTGGGAATGTTGTGTGCTCTTGGTTCTCATTTCTGCATCCCCTAGTGCAGCCTCTTGTACCCCCATTTGCAAGGCAAATGCAAAATAGATGTCTTCTAGGTTCCCCTTAGTATCTTGTATTCCATTTTTACGGAATTTTTCCAGAACTTTTCTTGGACTTTACTATGTATAACAACCTTCCTAAAAGGCTGCTTTTTTTTCCGCCCCCCTCGCCTCTGCAGACATATGAGAGCTGCACGTTGTAAATTGGGACACTCATACTGCAGTTGTTTAGAGAGTTGCACTGTGGTTACTGTTTCTCCCTCTCCTATGGGTCCTTCTGCAATTTGTGTGGCGAGCTTACACACTTCGCTCTCCTTCCTGTAATTCAACGCTCAGATCTGGGTCCTTGCAGCCAAAAAGTTCTGGATGAGCCATCCTTGCATGTCTGCTTTATTTCTTTATTGCTGCTGCTTAGCAGTTGCTGGTCTGCATCATATTCTGAGCTCTGGGGAGAGATAAGATTATAGCTGTACTGAAAACCTTAGTGTCTTGCATCCTGTAGCAAGTTGCTGCCTTGGTATCTGCAAGCTGAGCCTAAGGCCTGGCTTTTAAGCAGCTCCTCTGGTGAGAGAACACCCACCTCATCTCAGGTGCTGCGAGGCCTTGCCTTTCTGCGCACAGGCAGCCAACGATGGGCAGCTTGTTCTAATTAGTGCACTCTCATCTGTGTTAATCACAGGCAGGAAGTTACTGAGGTCTGTGAAAACACTCCACCAAGTTCTTCCAAGCACATGTTGGCTTGTGTAAATCCACATGAATTCTTACTTTGCAGGGTTTACTGTGAGTGGGCTGATTTTTCCACTTATCTGCATGCTTTTAAAAGGAGAAAACAAATATTTTGTTTTGAACTTGACAAGCAAGTTAACATAGTGCTTTATTTTCTATTTTTACTTTTAATACCACTGCTGTTTGGATTCTGCATGATTCATGGTAATTAAAAATCTGCAGGCAAGTTTCACTCTTGTGAAAAATAAAGCAGAACGGAAGATCACGTTCTAACTTTAGGCACTTAGCTGAGATGCCTAGCTTAGACATTGCCAGTGAAGGAAGGAGGGAGAAACCAGCTGTCCAGCTTCCAAAAGAATGTTCAGGCCTTAGTTGCACTGCCCTGTGGTGGTGTTGCCCTATCTCTCTTCAGTGTGTTGAGCGCTGCAGATACCCTGCTCAAAGTTAGATGGTAAGAATTCGTCCTCCTGTTTCCCTCTTCCCTTCTGGAGCACTGGGAAGTTTCTCACTGAGCTGTTTTTGCTGAATTCAGACTCAGACACACGGTTTCATTTCAGAGCTAGAGACATCTATGTGCATATCTATGTAGCACATCTATGTGCATTCCTTTAATCTGATTTGTTTGAATTTGTGCTTGAATCATGGAACAGAAAGATTTTGTTTGTTTGTTTGTTTTGTGATATTGCTTTGAAATAGCTCTTCAGAAAGGTGTATTGACAGGTACGCTGCCTTGGTAATGCCCCTGCTAAAACTTTTCCTCTTTCTGCTGTTGGGTTCCTCTGCCACATCCGATTCATGCCTCTTTGCTCTGACCTTTACTATATTTGTGTTTCTTTTCTCCTTTTTTTTTTTTTTTTTCTTGTAAAGGAAATCTGCCTTTGGCAGATCACTCTGTCCTCAGAGATGCTTAGTAGGCAATGTCTATCAGCTCTACATATATTGTACTTCCTCAGACTTATGAATATTTGTTTAAGAACCAGGAGCTGTTGGTCACCAAGAAAAATAAAAAGTTTTTTTTTCTAGAGTTCCTGTGACCTATTCCTGATGTGGGAGACAACATACACTGCTAGTGGTGGATCAGCAACTCCTCACCTCCCAGTTAGCCTTTACACCCTAACACTTAGGAGTGGGTGACCCGTGTGGGTTCATCTTTTGTGTTTGCTTTCTGTTGTTTTGTAATTTTCTTTTGTCAAAGACTGACAGTTAAGAGGAAGTTTTATTTGGTTTACAATTCGACCATACTGAGCACTGCTTACAGTTTTTCTTCCTCTTCAATCCTAGTCTGAATTGCCTCATTCAGCAATTTTTTAGTTTCCAGTCAGTGTTCCAAAATCAGGAAATGGAAATGGAGAAGAGGCAGGATTAAAGCTGATATGTTCGATTTTGGTAATGTTCTCTTTGTGTTTCAAAACTATCTGACTTTTCGGAGTTGAAGGATGATTTATGTCTAATACATTTTTGGAAGAGTGTCTTAAGACAGGAGGTCAATTGGCGCAGGTGCCTTTTGATGGATTTAGTATTTAATGTGGGTTGGAAAGGATGCTGTCAGCAGGCTGGGGGGCTGTGGGGAATGTTCCCAGGCCTCCTTACAATGGTGCGGCGCAGGAAACGTAGCAGCTTTTAAACCTGTCTGCTGTTGTGAATGGGGTGAGCTCAAGCCTGCCTTGTGTCTGTAACACAGCAAACCTAACTGTGCTTGCTTTTGAGTGTTATTTTTTATTTTCCTGTAGATATTTTGGTGTTTTGTTCATTTTCAAGCTTATGGTCAAATCTCCAGTGCCCAAGTCATGAACAGGAGTGGTAGTGATGGAAAGTGATAGAGCCCTAAAAAATCCTAATATTTAGTCTCATTTATCTTAACATGATTATGCATTTATGGTCAGGGTCTTCCTACGTCAATTCTAAATAAAACCTTCCTAAACGTGCGTAGTCCTTTTCTTCAAGGAGGACATCTAAGTAATTATGATATATCATATACCATATGTATCATATTTGGCTGCTTTATTGTTACTTTCTATATTTTCTTATTGATCTGTGAAGTAGAAACATTCTGCTTTGCTCTTTTGTAGTCTGAAATTAACAAAATTGACTGTTTTGCAGGTCTCTTGGTCAGACATAGGAGGACTGGAAGATGTCAAGCTCAAACTGAAACAGGCAGTTGAGTGGCCGCTCAAGCATCCCGACTCCTTCATCCGAATGGGGATTCAGCCACCAAAGGGAGTGCTGCTTTACGGACCTCCTGGGTGCTCTAAAACAATGATAGCAAAAGCTCTGGCTCATGAAAGTGGTCTCAACTTCTTGGCAGTGAAGGTAGGACATTTATTCTTGCATTTTTTTTTCCAGTTTGCCAGCTGCCAGTGCTAGAATCCAGTGGCATTTAGTGTTTCTGATTATTGTTTGTACTACAGTAAACATCTTGTAAAACCAAAGCAAAGTTTGTGTTTTATAATGACAAGGATTGTTTTGTGTTTGTGTGTGTATGTGTCTTCTTCCCTTTTTTTTTTTTTTTTTCCTTCTATAATCAGAGCACAGAAATAACATGTTTAATGGATGGATAAGCTGTTAGCAGCATCTAAATGCTTTATTTTAATGAAAAATCTAAATAATCAGAATTATTTTAAATGTTTCTTAAAATGAAAACAGCAAAATTGTTCAAGCACTCTGTGAAATTGACTGAGATTGGATAGTGGGTATCTTTTTACTTTAAGAATTGCTTATATGGAAATGTTATTGTCTTCTCTTTTCATTCCTCTAGAATGTAGCTTGCTTTATGTTAATATTGATATTTCATTACATCATTTTCTTGTCCTATTGACCTTTTCTCAGAAGAAATTATTCTATTTCACAAGTTTCTGGAAAGGTTGCACAGTAGCTTATATCTGGAGTGCTCTTGGCGAAGTGGGATGCTCTCTCAGCATTAAGAAACACTTTTAGTAAAGAGATATTTCGGAATTCACTGCCTGTGAATCATTGCAGTTGACTGCTGTGAGGCATATGGAAAATGCATAAATGGAGGTTTAGTAATAATATTGAGCTTCGACACTTAGGAACAAAATAAAGAAGACAGTAGAGTGATTCCACATGAGGTGGGACTGCAGCTGTGTCAGCATGTTAATGAAGTGCAAGAAATAACATTTGTTTAAGTATTTTTGCTCTAAAAGCGCCTCTTTGGCAGCAGGGCCGTGCACACTTCTCCACTGACCATCTCCTCCGTGCAGAGCTCCTCGTGGTGGTAGCTCCTACCCCGCTTCCCCCTCTGCCTGTGCTGTCGGTGCCGCGGCGGCGGCGGCTCCGGTGTTGCCGGCGGTTGCGGCGCTCTGCGG